AGAGCTCCCATTTCCCTCTGGGCCCTGAAAGTTTCTCCTTTTCCTCCATTCCCTTTTCCAGTATCCCAAACCAGAAATGTACATGTTACTATCACCACCTCCCCCTCATCTCCCTCTCTGCATACAAAAGGTCAACAAATATGATTTAATCTTGCTTCCTAAGTCTCTCAGCTCCATTTCTTTCTCTCCCCCCACCCCGCCTTAATTTAGATCATCATCATTTCTTGCCTGGACTACATCACAAATCTTCTAAGTGGTCCGCCTACTTTCATCATTCTCTCCTCCAACCCATACTCCATATTGGTACTATCTGATCCTTCTAAAATGCAGATTCACTCAAATTAGTCCAAATGGCTCAGCCTGGCTTACTGAGGCCCTTCAGTAACTGCTCCCTGCAACCTCTCCAGTCTCCCCTCCTGCTACTTCCCCTCACGTACCTACTCTGGTAACACTAAGCTCAAAAAGCAACATTCTATGTTCTCTCCTCTTTATGCTTCTACACATGCTGTTCTCAATCCCTCTCCCCCACATCCTCCACTACCTGACTCAGACTTATCAATCAACACTCAGCTTGGGCCTTCTCTGGACCCTTCTCCATGACTAAGCTGGATATCTGCCTTCTCTGGGCCCTTTTTGCATAGCATGCCATTGTGGTAGTCAGGTAGTTCAAAGGATACTCAGATGGAGGGACTGTTTCTCCAGCTTCAGAATACAGTGCTTGCTTAGCAGTCAATCAACCAGCAGCTTGTTGAATTAATCTCCTAATGGATCTATCTTTCCCCTATACCACAATGCTGTGTTTTAATAACTAAGGTATAGAATCTAATTAGGCTTGAATTAGTAATTTAAATTAGACTCATTGATTTTGATGGTTATTCTGATGACAGACAGATAGTTATGGCCACACTCTGTCTTTCTGGTGGGGGTGGGTGGGTGCATATAAGTCCATGGACATTAACCTCAAGTTTCCTCCTTCTATATTTCTATACAGTAACTGCATATTGTTTTCCATATTAAAAGAACACAAAGGAAAATAAGTCATTTTTATCAAAAGACATCTGCACTTAAATGTTTACTGCAGTACAATTCATAATCACAAAGATGTGGAATCAACCTAAATGTCCATCAATTCATGAATGGATTAACAAAATGTGGGCTGCCTTCTGGACCTGGTAATCCCACTGAAGGTTTAACCTTCACCTCCCTTTGTGACAGGGACGCCACAGCTCTGTGATGCAGGGCTGGGCCCTGGTCAATAGGCTCAGAGAAGGCGCCCATGGCTCAGGGGCTTGAGGGCAACAGCCTTAGTGACATAGCGCTGAGCCCCAGCTCCGCCGACTGGGTGGCAGATCTCACGCTGACCTTCCCCTGGGGACCGGGGCTCTTCCTCCTGTTACTTCCCTGTCTCCGTGGTGACCCACCCTCACCAGCCCACGGGCAGAAAAGAAGCATCAGTAAGGTGAGGACCGTCGGCCCAGACCCAACAGAGAATGACTCTCTCTTTCCTTTTTAGTATTATTTCTACTTCTCCAAATTGACTGGAGACCCCTGAGATGGGACATGCCCTCATCCTGCCAGGCCCAGGTGGGGCAGGGAAGTGACAGTGGTGTGGGTTTCTATCCCAAGCTCTCAGACCCCATGTGCAGGTGTGCAGGCGGCATCAGGGCCAATCAAACGCCAGGACGCAGAGGCCGGGACGAGATGATGACAGAGCTGAGGTCTGTGTGGGAGGAAGTCCCCGGGCTCCGTGCATCAGGCATCGGTCCCCTTCCCGTGGCTGGCGCCTCAGCTTGGCCTTTCTCCTGTGTCAGGTGACCTGAGGGCTGTGCTGAGCCCCCCAGAGCCTCCCATCAGAGACCGGAGTGGCCTCTGGCCTCCTCGGGAAGGAGGACCGTGCCTGACAGCAGGATCCATAGGCCTGAGTCAGTGAGTTTCTCCAGCAGAGGAATGGTGACAAAAGACACCCACGCTGGATCTCACATAGAAAATCCCTCCGTGCGTGTTTCAAAGAAGGATGACAAAAGATACTTGTATGCACATTAAAAATGAGTAGAAGGAGAGAAAAGCAGACAGAGGTCCCTCAGGTATGTGCAGAAGGTCACGTCCTCCACAGACACTGAACGTCTGCAGCTCCTCTGGGGGGAGGCGGGTAGGGCCGGTCCCAGCCCCTTGATGTTTCTTGTCCCTCAGCGTGCGATGGCGATGACGGGGAGGCCCAGGAGCGGGAAGAAGAGCTGCGGTCTGAAAGGTAAGGCTCTGGCCCGGAGTCCCCGGGGGGACTTAGCCTCGCCGATCCTGAGGGACGAGTCTAGCAGGAAGTCAGCTGCAGAGGGCTGAGGGGGCTCCTGGGAAGGAAATGGGACCCGGGATTCTCCTCAGATACTGTGCCAGGCGTGAAGCCAGTCGGGCCCGGAATGGCTGCTGCCCACAGCGGGGAGGTGGGGGTGACCCATCACCAGCTGGGTGTGCATGCAAGTGGGGCCTCCAGGCCCAACTGTGGACAGCGGCTCGACCTGCCTAAGGCCGGTTCATCTCGGAGGTGACCCTGGTCTTGTCCCCCACAGGGGGCATGTGGGGACCCTGCGGGATGGATATGGAGAACTGAGTTGACGATAAAGCGCTGCCTGCTGCGCTTTTTTCTGTCACTGCCAGGTTCTCATGGCCTGGACACTGATGCGTGGGCTGCAGGGCCAACCCCCGACGGTCTGTCCTAGGGGGACAGTCAGCCTCCTGCAAGATACCCAGGCCC